TATTTTTTTAGATACGGTCCTGTTCTACAAATTACAGTTTTCTGAAGGTTGTCTCGTTTTCTATGCGACAAGGTATCAGTTGTGATGATTCAAATATATTTCTTGGAATAAAGGCAGAAAAAAATAAAAACAATTTCGGAAAATTTCGGTATTTCAAGAATATCTCCGGAAGCTGTCAGAATTCTTTAAATTTCTTGCGTGTATATTATTAGTCATTAAATAGCGCAATTCTTTTCTCATTTAACCATTGCCGTATCTGTTACCGTTTACGAGATCCCCAAGATAGAAACCTTATCTTGGACGCCCTAAACCAATTCTAGAGCCGCACACTCTTCCACAGTCTTGGCACACCCAGTCTCTGGCAGCATTGTCTCTATTAGACCGTGAGATAGGGCCTGTTTAGTGGAGTCATTTTTTTTTGTCTGGCATTTTGAGGGATGAATGTGGCTAGTTAGCTGATGAGAATATAGGTGGTTTTAGTGCTTGCCACCTGTTCGAAATGTCCACAGAATGTTTCGACGGAAAACTCGACTTCGAACTGGGATTACCGTCTGGCGATTTTTCAGCGATATTTTCACAACAAAACCTTTCATTCTCTCGATTACCAAACAAAAAGTAAACGCGGAAGGTTCTTTTCTTTTCTCTTGGAAAATGACACTCATCCCCACTTTTTCAGGTATTGAAAAGCATCTGGTATTTTTTATGGGTGAATTATTTATCAATGTCAATCTTTTATTTAGAAGCCAAAAAATTTGAGATCAATAAAAAAAAACTCCTCATGTAAATCAATTTTTTTTCTTCTGCAAATTTTCGAACGGGAGGCAGGCATTAAAACCACCCATATTCTCATCAGCTTAGTAGCCACCTTCAGCCCTCAAAATGCCAGACAAAAAAAAATGACTCCACTAAACAGGCCCTATCTCACAGTCTATATCTGTGTACTCTCGCTCCTTCCTGCGGTTCCTTTTTTCAGTCTCGTGTTTGCGACGCTGCTCTTCAAAAGTTTGTCGTCCGTGTAGTCCACCACGGACCACAAACTTGACGCCATGAGGGCCTATCATTTGCCGTCGTCTCCCAGTTGCTGCTATCGATGCGGCACTTTGCCATATTGTCCTTTAGAACTTCTTTGTAGCGTTTTTGTTGCACTTTTTGATTTCGTTTTCCCTCTTTCAGTTGATTGTAGAGAATCTGTCGTGGAAGACGTGTATCGGGCATCCGGACGAGGTGACCTCGCCAGCGAAGTTGGTGCTTAATGATGCTTTCATGCTAGTTGTTTTGGCCTCCTCTAAAACACTAATGAGGAATGGAAATAATGTTCAGATTTCTTGGATACACACGCATTCTAATAAAAACGCTACTCCCATGTTTCAGGAATAAGTCCCCAATCAATATTGCAGCAATAGACAGCATAACATTTATTATAATTATGTTAAAATAGTTTTTCTCTATTGAAAACAGCAATGATCATTAATTTAAATTTAAAATACACCATAAAAGCGTTAACAATGACACAAACTCGAATCTTTGCTAGCTACATTTCCCCGGTTTCGTATATTAAAGCTATTAAATAAATGAATAAATAACTGCCACTCAATTTTCGCCGACCCAATTTTGAAGTAATTAATCTAAACCGTCAGAAAGTTATTAACTTCGCTAAATGCTTAACGGAAAATCAAATTTGGCACTTCGTTATTGTATGCAAACCTCCGAATTTGTTTAATGAAAACGCTTTAATTGAAATTCGTTTTTTATTTGATAATGTATTTTAGTTTCCATGCAAAACACATTTTATGGAATAATTCAATTAAAATATTGTCCCGGATTCAGGGTCCACTAAAAGTCACTTCACAAACAAAAAAAAAAATTATTGAATATTTACTTATCACTTATCGAAACGTACACCACAAATCTCGAATTTAAACTAAACTACAACAACACTCTTACTTAAATTGACTCTAACAAGGCTCTTATTTAGACTGACACCAAACTTACTACTAAAGGCTCTTCAACATAGTCGACATCGTACTCGGGATTTATCTAGAAAATACTCGAATATAAGTCACGCTAAATGTTAACAACTCGATTCCTAGAACCCCATAATGAGGCTCTAACGCCTCAACAAGCGCACCATACTTTTGTAGAAAAGCTGGTAAAACAATTTCTAATAGGTCTAAGGCAGGCCAGGCAATGCTCCAATCAGGCCTGTAGCTATGCCATCAGAGTCACAACTATAAGTGAGTCGCGAACTGACGTTTGCACATCGTCCCCAATGTCTGACCATCCTAATCTCGAGCTACACTCCAACTTTTTAATTTTGTTCTCAACACAACCTATGGATTTCTTGACGGAGAGTTTCAAATTCCTACCGCACTTCACGTACCTACACATCCATTGCATTCTTGAATTTATTATATTGCCTGCCGTTCCAGTCTGAATTGTCTGTCAGAGATTACGGTTTACATCCATTCTCGCTGAAATTTGAAATTTTCCTGTTCTTGTTTTTTTTTTATCTCCAATTTTCATGTTTTTGGAATAGTGCTGCAAGTCAGTCTTGTTTTTATTTCTGTCATCATACTTCCTCTTCTTGTTATTCTTTCGTTCTTCGATTTTCTTGTTGTATAAAAGTGTTGGTGCTGTTTAATTTTTTCCTATGTGTCTCCGGGATTCTTCGTCTTGTCTGTTGTTCTCGATACTTTTCATGTCTCACACCGTTTGATTAGCTTGCTTCACTTCAGCTTTTTATTGTCGTGCATTTAGCATAGAATACCAACTCTGTATATTTCTTGAGACTTGATTTTAAATATAAAGCGCGGTGGCGTCATCAGTGAAACTTTCCACATCTTGTCTAATTCTAAAATAGAACACGTAGAAACGTCCTAGAAAAATCATTTTGTGGACTTGTTTCTTGACGTGAAAATCAGTATCTAATAAAATCACTATTCCAGTTCAACAAAAGTTTAGCTTGAAACAATCTGATAATTATCAATTAGCTCAAAGTAATCCACTTTGTCTCGAAATTTATGCACAAAAAAATGTAGATATCTGATTTATATGGTTCAATTGCATTTGCATGAGTTACCATTCGCCAAAGTCTTCTCCTCTGAATAATTATTGCAGAAGCTATTTTCCTTCGAGTCAGCTGATTTCAGCATTCCGTTATTCCTTCCTTTCGATGATAAATATCATGAATTCGTATTGTTCGTGCTATGGGAAATTTATAATTTGGTTTTGCATTATAAGAATGCGTCATAAAAAAATCGACTTGCAACACGTTGTTTTGCAGAGTTTTACCGACCAATGCCGGGATGAAATACAATGAAAACTTTAATGTCGTGTAAAAAAAGTGATGGTCAAAAATTAGAGAAACTTGACAATTCTCGTAAGCTTTTCGCAAGTTACTTTATTGGAAAGTTAATTACCTAATTAAAAGGACCACATCTATGGGTTGTTGCACTAAGAGCTTTATAGCACTAGAATAAATATACATTCTGTCACGACACGGCAATATTTGCTTTAATTAAGACACTTTTCCCAGCCCCTTTTCAAGCCGTCGCTGTAACAGCTGGTATGACATGGAACCCTCAATAACCGCATTCCAGTTTAAACACGTTTTGAGTGGAAGTCAGTTCGAGGGGTTGCTTCTGTTGGCGATTGATGTACTTTCCATAATCAAAGGGTCTATCTAGTGGAAATAAAATGTACAATCCTGTTTGAGTTTCTTTTACGTTCGAACGGTCAAATGTTATCGTTTCCAGATCTTAAACGGGAGCCAGTTAAGGGTAGATCCTGTTGACAAATAGCCAGAAAGTTACCCGTTTCGCTAATAAACGGGGCAAACATTCGGAAGCTCCGTCGAGGTCAAATTGGGAATTTTATTAGTAGTTTTTGCCGTTGATTAAGGAAGCTATTCCTACGGAATCTAATTTCATTATTGAAACTCGATCTAAGCAACTTTTGCTGTGTAAGCTGATAACAAAAGGATTTTAGGATTATACAAACTTAGGTATATGAAAAATTATTAGAGTTTGAATAAAATAAATAAGGCGAAGACTTGATAGCGTTTATGTTATTCTTTGTTGATATTTTACATGATTTTTTTTATAAAGCCTTGAGCTATTAAAAGTTGCATAAGGAAATCTAGGTATGAAAAGCTCATTAACTAAATTAGACAATTTGCAATTTCTGTTTTGTTTCATTGTTGCTGACATTGTGTGTAAAAAAAATATTTGTAGCAAGGAACGCAAGCACGGAAGTTAACCTTCTACATGTTTGTTGACATTTTAAGATAAATTATGAAATTGGACCTGTAATGGAACATACGAAATCAAACACGGTGTATCTGTATGTATAACATAATTTGAGGAGTTATGATGAGCATATTCTCGAACTGGTCTTTGTCTAATCTACTTAAGTCAGGTATTTAAAGCAGCCAAAATGATTTCAATTAGTAGGCCACATTGGAGCATTTGTAACAAAACAGAGTTGAAAGTATATCGTATAATAAAACTCAGAAGAGACCCAACGGGTGAACTCATTAATCCATTTTTTACAAATTTAATTATTCCATTATTTTGAGCCCCTCTCGGTGAAACGCTCGAGAGGACTCAATTTGTCACTCCCTTTGACTACAACATCAGTTGATTGAAAAACTTTGAAATACAACCAATGTGTTTTTTCACTTTACAAAGTTATCGAAATGTTTACTCCAACATTAAACAATTTTCAAGTTACCTTTCAACATTTTAATAATGTCATCTGTCCACAAGTCCATATCAATTAAAAACCAAGTTCAATAAACAATAAGTAGAAATACTAGAATAATAGAATAATTTAAGATAAAAAAACCTTATAAGTTTTTTCTGTATTTCAACAAACTCTGTGCAATATTTATTAAAAAAATTTGCAGGCAAAAAATTATCTTTCCCTTTAAGCTTTCTCACAGGATTCAAATTTGATAACATAAGTAGTTTAGGTTTTTGATATACATGTGGGCATCTTACCATTTAAAACATGAACTGTGACGTTGGCTGGTCTGGCATTTGAAGGATTACACTGATAATTTCCAGAATCTGATGGTCGAGCTTTCTGAATCAACAAAACACTTCTGCTTGTTTCGCCTCGTTCCGTTGCTACACTAACGCCTCCTCTTGAACTAGAGTAGCTGATTATCTGAAAAAAAGTTGTTTTTTATAACAAATAATACACCTGCTCGTATTATAAGTATATCAAAATTCTTACAAAATTTAGCTGCAACTGTCAATAAGGGTCCGAACTAAGTTAGTATAGTACCTTTTTACATGCTTAACCCTAAAACACATAACCCTATTTTAAATAATTAGAAAAGGTGATTGAGAGAAACTAAGTCGCGATATCATGTTAATTAATATACTATATGTATATTAGGTCTCTTCTCCCAGAAACCACAAACCAGTTAAAGCGAATTTCATTGGAGTTGGTACAAGGCAACTGGTGCCATTGAAGTCTATGTGTCTAGCAGACTGGTCCTGTCTGTATAATATTTTCTGATACTGTAAATCAAGTCTCTTTGAGTAAGTTATGGGCTACTTTTTTTCAACTGTTTGGTTAGTTGAGCTGGGGTTGAAGCTGTTTTAATTTCATAAATATCATTTGTTCGGCAGATATTTTAGTTTTTATTGCCAGTTCTGTGTTGAATAGATTAATTTTCGAATATTGAAGTCATTGAAGAGCATCCGAGGAAAATCTTTGGTTTTATGTCAATTAATATTTGTAGTCGACGAGAAGAAAGATTTTGAGGAAAACCACCTATCTGAAATAATATTTCTTCAAATCTTAACTTTTTAAAACGTTTCCTATAGAAAAGCAAATGGTGAATGTTGCAACCATGTATGCGCAGTGAAGTTTTTGGGAACGGGGGCGCGCGACAGAAAACGAAAGTACCGAAGGGATAGAAGAAGATGAGAGACTAGAGAAGAAGCTTGTCCCTTGGACCGCTTGTCCGCCATTGTTCATTATTCAATTTTTATTTTGTATTAAACTGATTGTTCAATCCAATTTGTGATTAGTTTATGTGTCATAAGGGGCATTCACAGGTCAGTTGAATAATTGTTATTTTGTTTTTGAGAGTTCAATTTATACAAGTATTATTTTTTTAATTTTTACGTTTTTTTGTCTGTTCATAACATTTTTTATAACATGTGCATTGTCCATGTATTTTAACAAAAATCGTTTCATGCTGTGGATAACAATGATAAAAAGTAAATTTAAAACCTAAGAAATTATGTGCTGTCTTTAGTGCTGGAATTTTCATTGTTGGTATTCAGAGCGTGCATTAGGGCCTTGTTGAATCTACTAATATTTTCCTACCCTGACGAGCGAATGTCCTAACAAACAAATTGAAATAATCAATCTAGAGATATTGGCTCAAAATAACAACTATAGCTGAGTAGCTTCCCTTACGGGACCTCAGTACCTGCTGGCAGACTGGCTAACTAACCAAAAACTCTTCAGTATTGAATATAGTTAGTGTTGATTGAATGTAGTGTGTGGAATTAAAATTTTAGCACAAGGACAGGGGCGGAACGAACTCGGGTATGTTATACTACAGATTTTGGTGCCGTGACCAGGATGCGCTTCTTATTCCACAAACAAATTTGGAAATTTGATTGGAAATGTTGTTTTTTGTTTAATTTTGTTTTTAATAAGCTTGTTTTCCAGTAAAGTGTACGCATTACGATTTATTTACCAATTTCTTCAAGAATTCGACCTGACCTTTTCATGTTTTATATTTTTATGACCCTTTTTCTCGGACTCTCGGAATGTAAACACCGGATTTTTCAGGTTTAAAATTTACTTATCCTTTTTGCTTGAAATGTTTTTTTTTACGAGTTTATAAGAGATTTTGACTAATAGAAAGAAAAAGTAAAGTAGACAAGGATGCCAACGTTTCTCGATTTTAATAAAATATTTTTGACCTTTTTCGTTTTGTTGAAAAAAAAAAAATAGTTATTCAAATTGTTTCTTATTATTTTAGATGAAATTCATAAATACATAAGTCTCATTGGGACGGCAGTATTAGAAATTTTTATTTGCAGTTTTTAGTTCTGTTTTTGTCGGCGTTGCCGTTGTTATTAGTTTTTAAATGTCTCTCTATTGTTAGTTTCAGATTATATTGCGAAAAAGAATAGGTAAAACAGATTGAAATTTAGGCAGCAAGACGTCTATGTTCAACTAATCTGTTGATTTTTTTTCTCCTCTTTTCAATAAGCCTACGGTGTTTGTTCCAATAACAATGCTATTTTGGGGTGCCCATAGTTTTCATGACATGCACATGTTATTTTGTTTGGAACTTTGAGGTTAGTTTAGAACTATTTATTCCTGGAGAAAATTATTCACAGAATTTACCGAAATGTCAAACACCGACCCTCCTGGTAGTTTTTGGGAACGCGCCACAGAAAACGAAAGTACCGAAGGGTTGGAGGAAATGAGAGACTAGAGAAGAAGCTTCACGCTTGTCCCTTGAACCGTTTGTCCGCCATTGTTCATTATTCAATTTTTATTTTGTATTAAATTGATTGTTCAATCCAATTTGTGATTAGTTTGCGTGTCATAAAGAGTATTCACAGGTCAGTTGAATAATTGTTATTTTGTTTTTGAGAGTTCAATTTATACAGGTATTATTATTTTTTTTTTTATGTTTTTTTGTTTGTTTATAACATTTTTCATAACATGTGCACTGTCCATGTATTTTAACAAAAATCGTTTCATGCTGTGAACAACGCAGATAAAAAGCAAATTTAAAACCTAAGTAATTATGTGCTGTCTTTTGTGTTGGGATTTTAATTTTTGGTATTCAGAGCTTGCATTAGGGCCTTGTTGAATCTACTAACATTTTCCTACCCTGACGAGCGAATATCCTAGCAAACAAATTGAAATATTCAATCTAGAGACATTGGTTCAAAATAACAACTATAGCTGTGTAGCCTCCCGTACGGGACCTCAGTACCTGCTGGCAGACTGGCTAAATAACCAAAAACTCTTCAGTATTGAATATAGGTAGTGTGTGGAATTTAAATTTTAGAACAAGGACAGGGGCGGTACCTAATTTAAATTATTATTGACTAACATAATATAATTAAAATGACACAGTATGTTTTGATTTTTGAGAAATGTTAGATCAAGGGTTTCTCTCCCGTGCTCTTTCCCCTCGTGAGTTTCAGGTCGAGAACGGTACGATTTTCTAATAATAAATTAGACGTTTCACAAATTTTTCGTTTATTTTACATATCACAACTTCCCTTAAATTTCCCTAATTTTGCTATTGTCGGGCGCATGTCAAGTAAGTAAAATTGAGTGAGTTTCGACAACGTTGGTCCTATTTGTTTTCCATTTCGTTTTTCAGAAGATTTGTTAAAAGAAAAAATAATAAAAAATTCACACCGTTCAATCTTGCTGAACGAACCCGGGTATGTTATACTACACTTTTGAGAAATCGAATCATTTGAAAACGTAAAATCCAAGTTAATTTTGTTATTTAATATATAAACAATAAACCATCACAAACAGTAACAAAATCCTTCAGTTGTTGTTCGACACAATACGTGAGCTTAAATCCCACTCATTAAAAGTCCGTGGGAAAAATTGCGAAGCTTACAAGAAAAAGGAAAAAGAATGAGAAGATGACATACACAATAGCAATGATAGATTGAATTAACAACGTTTAGAAGCTGTATAGAAAGTAGGAAGGAAACAAAACAAAAAAATTGATGCAGAGAAGAAAATTCTTCTAAGTGATGAAAAACGCATTGAAACGGAATATGGGAAATCAATAAACAACTCTTGAAGAAGTCATAGAAAACAGAGGCACAAAATGCCTAAAATCGAGACTGGGTACCAATAAAACCATACGGATGGAAAAAAAATTGAGTTTTCCTGATTAAAAAAACTCACATTAAATGAACATACGAACAATAAATGAACCCTAGGTTTCAGGAATGATATTTTATACTCACAAAAACTTGAACGTTAAGAATTCAACCACACAGGCCGATGTTGCACATTCTAACTTCTGAATTTTTAAAAGTTACCGTTCTGCGGAGAATATTAAGTTTCCAGGTCAAGTCAAACAAAAATAGAATTTGCGTAGGTTTGATCTTTTATATATTTGTATAGGGAAATTTTCCAGATATTCGCTTGGCATTCATGTCTTTGAAATTCTAGATACGGCAAAAAACCATATTGCACAGCGATTCTTATAAATCAGCCATTTTATCCTTAATATTTTCTTACATTGATTAATATTCCAAGGCTAAACAGAAAGTCATCTTCTACAGGGTGGCGCGTTTGAGAAATTAATTTCTGAATATTATTTTAGATGTAGCATAAAGGTTCGTAAAATCCAGTTAGGTAGGTACTTTTTTTGAAATAAAATATTCTGTATCTCCATGTGATTTTGGATAGTCTTTGAAAACACAAATTCAACGATAACGATATAACAGGTTGGTTCATGACACCCTAAAATCTCGAGAACCGTCGCGTTTTGGAAAAAAAAAACTCAAATTAGAGTTGTTTGGTGTCATGGAAGGTAGAAATTACTAACACTGATTTCCGACGTTGAGAATTTTGACATAATTTCGGAGCCTATTTCGAGGTAACCTTTTTTTCCCAAAAGAAAAGTGTCTTCATTTGGTTTCGTAAGTAGAAAAAAAGAGAGAGCCCAATTTTTCCTTTATCTGCTTAAATAATTCCAATGGTTTCGAAAAATGTTCAAGGCGAAAGAACATCTCACACTTCTTATGGATTTCGGTCACCGACAGATTTTGTTGAAACTTTAGTATATTATTTTAGAAGTCGAAATAAGCATTTTTTTTCATTGCACCAACTTTGTAGCGATACAGGGTGATACTGAAAAATTAGGTCAAAGATTTTTTTTTAATTAGGCATCTACTGTGAAATATTGTAGGTAATTTAACTTTCGTTGGTAAAATCAGGCATTTTTTAAAAAATAAAACAATATATATTCCAAAAGTGATATTATTTTAATCTCTAGCGTGTACAGGGTGGTCCAATTTGGACACTTTTAATAGGAAATGCTTCACAACTTTTTTATTTATGAAAATAATTGATTTCCGTAAAAACCTTCCAGAAGCACTTTTTCAAGCAGAATCTGATGACATTCTCAATTTTTTGGT